CCCCGGAGTCCTCCATCTCTAGCAGACGGTGATGGAATATTTCCTTGTGTTTCTGCCAACTCAGGGGGTTGCAACGCCGCCTCCCCCCCACCGCCCTTTACATTTTCATTTGTAGGGAAAATTTAAAGGAGACTAATAATGTCAAAGAAGGGGGAGCAGGGGTGAAGAGCGTGGCGCTGGTATTCGTCCATGATAGCCTGAGCTCACAGCAGGTGGGTTGGATGATGGCGGGAGTCATTAAACCCAGAAAAGGACCAGTGCTGAGAGTCTTTGGGCGGAATAAACTTACTACAGAAGTTTGAGTATTGCAGTAAAAGTATTGTATCGGGTAAAAACCCATTACAAAGAACCTGATCCCGCCTCACAACCATCAGATGAGCTGACCACAGATGGACACAAATCTCGCCGAGACCCAGAGGTGATCAGAGACCCACCTACAGGTGAAACTCGAATAATTAGAATATCGTGCAAAAGTAATGGCAGTAAGTGCTGCAAAAGGGGCCCAAACCAAGTACTGAGTACATATGCATGCTTGTACTTTTCAGAGGTCCGATATTGTTCTATGTACAATCCTTGTTTTATTGATTGCATGTAATATTCCCATGTTTTGAGGTTATGGATTTGGGGTTCTTGGGGTTTTCATGAGCTGTAAGCCATAATCATCACAATGATGACAAATCACGGCTTGAACTATCTTGCTTTGCATGTAATGAGTCTCATATATTAGTTTCACCGCATAAGTTGCATTAGTGAAATAAATGAACTTTGCACGATATTCTAATTATTCCAGTTTCACCTGTATAGTGTAACAAAGATTTACTTTCTGTGTGTTCGCCGTAGAGATGTCTCCTCGCTTCCCAATGTCATCAGACTACAAAAGGCAAGAGGGAATCTTCCCAACTAAGGCAGCAATAAAACTTCAATATACACTACATGGCCAAAAAGTGAGGAGCCCCTCGAAATGATGGAGTTCAGGTTTCTCCAGTGAAGGGTTCCTAATACAACATAACAAAGACATGTACGCCAACACCCGACCATCACACCTATATGAGCTTATTGGACATCCCATTCCAAAGCCAGGGCCATTACTATGAAGTTGGCCTCCCTTTGTGGCTATAACATCCTCACCTAGGAAGACTTCCCACAAGATTTTGGGAGTGTGCCTGTGGGAATTTGGGCCCATTTGTGAGGTCAGGTGCTGACGTTGGATGAGAAGACCCGGGCTCACATTCAGTGTTCCAATTCATCCCAAAGGTGTTCAGTGGGGTTGAGTCCAGGGCTCTGTGCAGGACGCTCAAGTTTCCCCCACACCAGACTGTTTAAACTACAAGATTTTGGAGGGTGTCTGTGGGAATTTGGGCCCATTTGTGAGGTCAGGTACTGATATTGGAAGACCCAGCTTACAATCAGAGTTCCAATTCATCCCAAAGGTGTTCAGTAGGTATGAGCACAGGACACTTGAGTTCCTCCCCACCAAACTGGTCACGCCATGTCTCTATGGAGCTGGCTTTGTACAGAGGGGACGGTCATGGTGGGACAGAGAAGGGTCTTCACCAAACTGTGACCACAAGGCTGGAAGAGCCCAATTGTCTACAATGTCTTTGTATGCTGTGCCAATAACAATCCCCTTCCCTGTAAACACCCTGATCTCCTTAATTTGGAGGGGGGCCGTATCTGATCACACAGAGTACGAGAACTGAATGTTTCCACGCAATTATTATTTGGTCCAATACAAAGTAACAATGACTTATACAGGTTGGCGAATGGATACTGAATAAGTACCCACAGGCCCCGCCCCTGAGGAGACGTTTTGGTGGCAGCCACATTGTTAAATTGTGAAAACTCTACCAATCCAATCACTTACCTCTGTCAGGACCGACGACGACTCCGGCTTGGACACATTGTGGCTGTTGAAGAATATGGATTCTCTGTCTGCAGTATAGAGAGAGAAAGGGAAGTATAAGAGCGTGCACAATGGACGGCCGAGCTCCGCCTACAATACCTGGTTATTACATTGCCAGGGCAGAACACACGCATTGATCATGGCGGCAGACAGAGGGGTGCTGTGGCAGCATTCGTGCCGTGCTACACTCTGGGTGAAGTTAAATGACAATGAATATTTATGGATTTGGACTTTGCACCTATCGGATTATACTGTACCGCGTGCATGCGTTTCTATACATCTATATACAGTACACTCGACCATCTGCACAAGACCACACAAAAATTCCCCTTTTCAATGTATTTATTAATTGTGATTGAACTTCACCCAGAGTGTTGATGCACCATTTCTGAAGGGGCAGTTTAGCCACAAACATGTTATATGGGGGTCTATTAATAAACATTTAGCAGAGCCCATCGTCCTGCGAATCTCTGAACAGTCGTTCTGTACAAATGGAAGCAAAAATGAACGTTCTTGGTATATATTTTTTTCAGGTCGAATGTAATATTTGGAAAATACCACGTTATGGCCACTAGATGGAGATGAGGAGCATAGGACATAAGTATTTAATTTGCTCCTCAGCTCCTTCTTGTGGCCAAAATGTGGTATTTTTGGAACATTACCTTCAACCTGAAAATAAAATATGCGAAGAACTAGGGAGGCACCGACACCGCTTTTTCGTTAACGAGTATTGATATTTTATTTTGGTACTCGCCAATATCAAATACCCAGGGGGGTCCCGAGGCTGGGTGACACCCGGAGAGGTTACCGAGTGTCACCCCACTGCGCGTGACGTCACCACGTGCGTGAGCGATGACTCACTCTTGGTGATGGACGCCGGCAGAGAGAGGAATGGACAGTGACCCGGCGGGATAAGGTATGCCGCCGGGTCCCCTCCTCTCTCTCTCCTGATACTGTCCATGACCGAGCGCCCGTCTTTTCAGAGGGGGGTGACACCAAAATGACTGTCAGTCATTTTGGTGTCACCCCTCCAATGGCGTCACCCGGGCGCGGGCTGCACCCCCCTTGTGACGCCACTGCGAATACCGATACCGTAAGTCCCATTAAGGAAGTCAGACGGCGTGCAAAGACTCGCCACCCGGCTTCCCGATTAGCAGGGAAGCCGTCTCCATGCTCCCTCGTCACCAGGTGAAGAGGGAGCCTGGAGCTGGCTTTCTGGCCAATCAGGAAGCCAGGCGCCGTGCAATGACCCATTTGCCCAGCTTCCTGAGTGGTCGAGAAGCTGGCCAATCTGGAAACTGCTCAACGCGTCATTCACAGTGTCAGACCTGCTGATTGGCCGGGAAGCCAGCTCCATGTATCCTCGTCATCAGGTGACGAAGGAACATGAAGCCGGCTTTTTGACCAGTCAGAAATCTGGGGGGCGTGTAATGGCATGCTGCCCGGCTTCCTGATTGGCCGGGAAGCCCGCTCCATGCTTCCTCGTCACCTGGTGACGAGGAAGCATGGAGCGGGCTTCCCGGCCAATCAGGAAGCTGGGCAGCGTGTAATGAATCCCTGCCTGGCTTCCTGATACCGGAGGCTCAAGTATCGGGCTGGGCAACCGAGCATTTGGGCGGGTACGAGTACTCGGCAAAATACTTGGCATCGGCACCGATACCGATACTAGTATTGGTGCATCCCTACTAAGAAGATTCATTTTCGCCTCCATTCGCACAGAAGGAACACATAGAGATTCGCAGGGTGAATGGCTCTGTGAATTGAACGATCCCCGTGGTGTCGTCATACAATAAAGGAACTAAGCTGCAGCACTGAGCGTGGCCCCTAAAGACATGTCACCTGATGATCCCAGAGAAAAGTTCTTCAGTGATGGCCGCTCCACAACCGTGTACGAATCGCCCACCACAAAGACTTTATAAAGTACGGCGTTATGGCTGATGAAGCTCTGGATGACGCAGGGGGGCTGTATCCTCCGAAGACCCTCCTTATTGAATATGATTGCCATCTACGGGACAGACAGAACACATCTGTAGGACGGACAGCTATTTAAAGGGAATGCATTGATCCATGTTGGATTATTGACTCTCTTCAGCAAACTGAGATCACAATAACAGAATGAACACAACCAGAGAGGAGATTACACAGACTGCCGAATAACTCGGAGGAGGGACCGTCCCTCTCCCATAGAAAAGACTAAGTGTCTGGATTAGTCAGGCTTACACAGGCTGCGGACAAGCAAGGCCAAACGGGACAGAAATATGGGGGCTGCCAGTGCTGACTGTGTATGTAAAGGAGCCTCTTCCAGGGGTGTCATCCTGGTCCTTGTTTTATTACGTAGTGAGTCACTGACCTGGAACAAGTATGTGCATATGAGGCATCCTGACACTTCACTCAACGCATGCTTGTTCTGGGTCACCGACTCCCTCGTAGTTAAGCAAGGCTAAAAAGACAAAGCTGCATCCCCAATACCCACATTATAATGGCGTTGACATTTTTACCTCGACACCGAACTCTACAATGTATTGCTAATGGGAAATAGAGAGCAAGCACATGCTGGGATTGGGGCCACGCAGAGAGGGATTGGGGGCACGCAGAGAAAGCGGGGGCAGAGAGAGAGAGAAAGAATGAGGGCACAGAGGCTGAAGATGCATTGGGGGTGTGCACACAGAGAGGAAGGGGCACGGAAAGTGAGAGAATGCCAGAGAAGTCTGAGTGAACAGAGGGAGATGGCCGTCCTGGACCAATGAGTGTCCAATGTACGGTGGTCAGAGACACAACCAGCCCATACATGGGACGGTAACATCAGAGAAGATCCTTCATTACAATCCAATTATTAAACATGTAGAAAGTGTTTAGAAAATGTTTTAAAAAAGCAGCAGAGATTTCATCTACAAAACCGCAATACCCCAAACTGAAGCACATGACACGCAAGTGAAGACCAATCATAGAAGACACAGAAATGGAAACACTGTTACAAAATTTGGGACCGTCCCGTCACAGGTACACTTACCTCGTGTGAGTTGGTGCCATGAGCCACCCTGGTCTTGCAGACTGGAATGACAGAAGAGAGGTGTGAGCTCGCCGCCTGGTGGACGGTTCAGAACATGCAGGTCGTGTTATTACTGCTTAGAGTATATGCTTAGAGACTATAATATTTTTCTGCTGCAAAAAACTTATAAAAAACTTTAAAGGTGACAAAACCGGACAGCAATCAAACCCGGCAAAGTGTGCTCATATTCTCCGGAACCTTCATCACAAGCTCTCTGACTGCGGAATAGTAGAGAAAGGTCGTTTGTCATATTACGTACTGAATGGGAAGGCCAGACCATTCTGCTCGATCACCGTCAGCGTGTCGTCTCCACATTCCTTAGAAAGCTCCATGAAGGGGGGAGAACATAATCTCTCATCTGTAATACAACCAAAAGTGGACAACAACACAGATCGATCTCTTCAAATACATCAAGAAGCACAATAGGAAAAAAGTCAAACTGGCAACATAAACATTGTACATGTATATGCTTAGTGTCCATGAGAGTGTGTGTATACAATATATATATATATACACTATATTGTCATAAGTATTTAGGGACTTACAGTTGCTTTGACCTCTTCTTCTCCTGGTGATGGTGGGGGGAGCAGCGAGGTTGCCGCACGTCCAGCCGGCTCCAGGTGCTCTCTCTCCTGAGCAGCAGAAGCCAACTGCGGTTCGGCAGTCTTCCTCTCCCACCAATGGCAGCTGAGGTGGGCGGAGGAAACTGCTGTGGCCACCGAGGAGCCCAATCGAATAGGGCACAGACGATAGCAGTGGAGCTTCTTGTTCTCTTCTCCCCGCCACCGCAGTCTTAAAGAGCCCCCCCTCCCAGTCCACATCTTTTGGAAGTTATTAATCTGAGTTGCCCCACTCAGTATGCCCCTCGCTTGTGGTCATATTGAGTGGGGCACTAAGATTAATAATGTGCTGGATTAGTCTGACCCAGGGGCGGACTGGGCCCGGGGGCAGGGTGGCAATTGCCCCCCAAGCCTCTCTGATACCTTTGCAAACACGCAAAGGGATTCCCCTCGCTGCTTTTGTACAGCCCGCAGACTGCAGGTTGCCCCGTGTGTGTGAATCTGTACATACATGACATGGACTCGGAATGCATTGCTATCCTCTGCATGCTGCTACATTGGAATCATTAGGATGAATGGCTGCAGTGCTGTACAATGCTGCCACCTAGTGGAGGAATTAACACCATACAGGTTATGGAGAGGATGGGCACACGTGTCTCATTACATCACAGATCCTAAAAATAAGATTATTCCTCATTTATTAAAAGTGGGCGGAGCTATGCAAATCATTCCATTCCACCCTGACAGCCAAATGCACATCCAGAACCTCTGGCGTGTAGAGTAAATATAACCCAATATAGAGCCATTCATGCCAAACAACATACAGCTGTTTCAGGCTTTTCGGCCATCATCAGTGCAGAATACCACCAGCTATAGAGGACTACAAATCCCAGCAATACATTATACAGCAACGCAGAATACCACCAGCTATAGGAGGACTACAAATCCCAGCAATTCATTATACAGCAATGCAAAGTAATAGTGTGACTGAACTCGTCACGCCTCCTCGTCCTCCTGGGTAGAAGCACGTTGTGACCGAACAGGAATTTTATCCCCTGCATGAAAAACCAGAAGCTGAAAAATGCGTCAGGAACTCAGAGATGAGAATGAAGAATGTGAAGCCGGCACGTAGCTCGTTCACATACCGGAGTGCGGCAACACATCCCGATCACCTGCGCCATCTCAGGAATGTAAAACCATGACACCGCCATCACCTCCGACAGTCCCTCCCCCCGGACCTCAGATCTGAGCGTTTTGTATTCGATTCCCGGCCCTCCTCTCTGATTTTTGGCATTCTATGCATTGCAGGAACGCATGTTACATGACTGGGCGTACTGCAGTGTCATTCCTTCCGAATCACACATGCGTTGCAACACGCTGCAGCGCCCCACCGTGCATTGGGACACGTACAATTTTTAGGACATTTTTGTGCATTGGAAAAGACCATTCAAAAAAATGCAAAAAGAAAAAAATAGTAATAAATGTAAAAATAGTTTAAAAAAAAAAAAAAAACATTTAAAGTAAAAAAAGCAATTTAAAAGAAATATGAAAGAGTAAAAACTGTAAAAAAAAATTTAAAAAACTAAAAAAGCAAGAAAAAAAAAAAGGTAAAAAAAATAGTAAATGTATAAAAAAAAAGTAAAAAATATAAAAATGTATAAAAAAGTAAAAAAAAATGTAAAAATAGAAAAAAGGAAAGAAAATATAAAAAGAAAAAATTCAAAACTGAAAAATAGGGATGACCCGATACAAACATCGGTATCGGCGGCGATACCGAGTATTTGCATGAGTACTCGTACTCGCAAATACTCCGATACAAAAAACGAGTACCTGTGCCGCGTCCGCCATCTTCAGGGACCCGAATCCGCCGCTCACAGGACCTCCATCGCGTCTTCAATCAAGCAAGATGGCCGCGAACTCCTCCTCCAAGTCCTCAGTCATCTGCTCTATTTTGACCTCTTCTCCCGCTGATTGGCCGATTGGATGATAGCTGTGCCACACTACAGAGTGTTCATGTTCTTCATAATATTAAAAAACTGAGCTAAAATCATGATTTTGTATTGCTTTAGAAAAAATGTGACCTGTCCCTTTAAGAAAAAGTATCGGTAATTGGTATCGGTGAGTACTTGGAAAAAAGTATCGGTACTCGTACTCGGCCTTAAAAAAGTGGTATCGGTGCATCCCTACTGAAAAATGTGAGAAAATGTGGGAAAAAAAAAATGTAAAACAAAAAGGAAAGAAATTGAAAAAATATTAATACATCATGTGACCAGTCTAAAGAGATGCATGCGTCTTGTTGTCGTAGCTTTTCCCTGCCTCATGAAATCGTTGTCACTGGCACAGGAAGTGAAGGTAAATCTTTCTTGGGGAGCTCCGGATAATGATTCAAATCCTTCCTCATAAACAGGAATTTCCGGCCGGCTCGGGTCACACTTTGAGGGTTGCAGCAATAAACAAATAAACAGGTTATATAAGTAATCCCCTGCGCGCATTCCGGGGCTGCAGATCCGCATCTCTCTCGCAGGCCGCATCCTGTTTTATTCTTTCACAGAATCGTGTCTGAGAAAGCGGCGTGACGGGATTCCACCGCGGTCTCCTTTCCTCTCCGAGCCGTCCGGCCGTACAAAGCACAATACTGAGTAATGCAGACAAAAGTCTCCTCATGCCGGGAGCCCAAATTCTCCTACCGCCTGTGTGTGCCGACGGCGAGCTTAAGTGGACCTGTCATCATTATATATATATATATATGTATATACACACACACACACACACACACACACACACACACACACACAGTGGCCGGATTATTATGACCACCTGACGTTTGTAGGCAGATTAGCTATAATTTGGCGCTGAAGTTGCTAGAGGGCCAGACCATTATAAATAGGGAAGCGGGTTGGTTACCACGACGGTAGAAGTGATTTGTTTCTGAAGATTCGGGGAAACAACGCGATGTAACAGCCTTTGAACGCGGGATGATTGTTGGCGCTCGGAGCCATGGAGCGAGTATCACAAAACAGCAGAATTCGTTAAATGTTCAAGAGCAGCTGTTGTTAAAGTGGTTAAAGACCGGACTGTCAGCCGAAAATCTGGGTCTGAACGTGCGAATTGTGGCCGTCAGCGACTAGTCAATGTTAGGGCAGAACGGGGGAGGGGCAAGACTGGTACAAGACAACAGAAGGGTAACAGTGCCGTGTCAGATTCCTCGCATCACCTTTCACCATCTCGTGGAGTCACGAGGCGGCCCAACGAAGTCTTGATGGGGGGGTCATAATAATCTGGCCACTCAGTGTATATCTCATCACATTGGGTGTATTAGGAATAAACTCGAGCTCCGGGTACTTGTTTTTGATGCCGTGCAGATCTCTGTAACCTCCGTGCGTTGCACAACATTCCTCCGGTGATGAGTATTGTACACAGACATCTCAGACATTACAATGCGCGCTCAGCGACCGCAGAAATCCGCTCCCCGGTCTGGAGAATGTCAGAGAAGAGACAACGCGGGCCGGGGACACCGGAGAGATCACGCAGAGAGAACGTTCTGTACAATCATCTCCACACCGACATCATCCAATGATCTCGAGCGTCCGCCATGTCCCACCTCACCCCCTCACAGTCCTTGTGCTGTATCCTCAGAGTACGGGAGATGGTGGGTGGCGCTCAAATGCGTCATAAATACAGCGGCCAGCGAGCAGATGGGGTCGACAAGCCAGCAGGCCGCGGCCAGGAAGGCGTTAAGCTGTGTGCGCGGGTTAATCTAGAAACCGGATGATTCAGCAATCCGCCGGGAGAAGGGGCGGGCGGCTGAAATGTCAGCAGCAAGATGGCTTTCGGAGGATCGACGCGGCTCGTAGAGACATCGAAGTCACACAAACAGCCTGTCAGATCGCAGGACGCCCCCCTCCCCCCCCCATACAAAGTGCTTTCACGTTTAATAGCCGCGCCGTTCCTTTCATGTCCGTCCGCGATCTTTAACGACTTTTAACCACTCTTCCCTTTATTTTATTTTTTTCCCCTCGTCGCTCGTCTCCGCTTGTAAACTCTCCGGCTGACAAGGGCGGCGACGCAGTGCGCTTCAACGTTAACAGACGCGTCTACGTCCGACGGCCCGGCAGGACATAAATTATTTTTTTTTTTTTTTAG